TTTCAGATAATTTAGTTCGCAATTTTACGTAAAGACCCTGAAAATTTAAAGGACAAATATTCATAATTTTCCTAGAAAATAGACATTTTATCGAAGGAAATTTGGCAACTCTCGAATGTTCATACGGCGTTCTTCCTTAGCACGGCGGTATTATCCACGTCAGTCAGCGGTCCGACGGCTGGTGAATCAGCCCTGGATACCGGGCTCATGTGTTTGATGAAGTATTGCAATGCGGACCTCAAAATTGGTACATAGGGTACACGCAGACTCGGGGAGGAAAATTCCCCGATCAAGATAATAAAAATTTCCTGAATTTACACGCGTAGAATCGGAGAGAAACATTTCTGACATTACTTTCATCACATACTGGGTCTACCATTCTGCCGCGCTGAAAAAGAACGCCGTATGAACATTCGGGAGATGTCAAACTTCCCTCCATAAAACATGTATTTTTGACGCAATTGAAGCATATTTTTCCTCTAAATTTTCAGACGTCTTAGATTAAATCGCGCACAAAATTGTCCGAAAATTTCGGAGATTAATATTCAGAATTTTCCCGGTAAATTAGGTTTTTATCGGAGGAAACTTGACAACGTCTGAAGGTTCATACGGCGTTCTCCCTTTGAACGACAGCATTATGGAGGGATTTAAAACTTAAGAACTCTACTTCCCGGTTTCATCTGGATGTGGTTATAAGCGAATTTTATTTAGAGGTTCGGTACTACTCTTGTGCCGGAACATCCGAGCTGCCATTTGATTTAAGTTCGGAACTTCCGATTCGGTGACTAACGAATCGCAACGTTGGTACGTGATTTTGGTATCACTTCGCGAGGTGGTTCTAAAAAAGGTTCGACCTATCGAAAACCAACGGATCTGATTGGTCGAATCTGGTAACAACGCGGTGTCCATTGGTGTTCGTGATTGATACGACAAATTGGGTCAGAACTTCCCATAGAGGCTCGGAACTTTGGATAAAATTCGCTTCTTGATCCTTTCTATCGAACTCAGTCCTAGAATCACGAGGCTTGATTTCTGACCTTGCGTGGGGATCCCTTGTTTTATTTCAGTTTGGGAGAACTTATAGAAGGCCGTATAACGCACCTCGGAAGGGGAAACTTTTTCTTAAGTGTGCGTTACGACGTAAGAGGGAGGAGGGGGCAGCTACAAGGGAATGGCGTCAGAGCATTACGCAATACCCGAGCGCCCTCTCCCGGTCATAAAACTTAGGTAACTCACCAGTTTCGGTAAAAAACTGCTCGACATACCCATGCTTCCTAACTTAAAAAGAGACAAAAACTCGGCAGGAAGGGGGAGGGGGTTGTCGCAGCTTCCCTAATCCCTTTCACGGCTCCGACTTGTCCTCTGTTTCACCTACTCATTGTTTTGAGATGCAGCGAAAAAAATCCGCAGACTTCCGCACAGTGGATAGAGTCAATTAGAGAGGTCGGACATGATGACATTATTGACCGAAACTGCGATTTTTGGTGTTTATTTCGACACATTTTACATTTCAAGGGACACTTTCAGAAGCAAATTTTACGAGGAAACCAATGGAGCCACTTTTAAGACCTGAAAATTTTGTATAAACGGAGTTATAAGCGTTTAAAGTTTCCAAATTTTTCCCCGACCACTCCTATTGACTCGATCCACTGTGCTCCGTATGCAGAGAGACTCGACTCGAGGAAAAAAGGTTACCCCCCACCCCCCCC